GGGGGGGGGATTTTCAGTCCATGTCATTCTCATTCAGAATGGTCTTCTGAGGATGGGCCAATTTTGTTAAGGTGGTTCCCTACAACTAGAAATACTCAGGCCCTTCCCAAAGGCAGGGAATCAAAACTCTGCCAGGGCATTTGCTTCCCTGTGGGAAGTTGCTACCAGGACCTACTACCCCAAATTCCAGGCCATGCCAGCCCTACCTGGCAGGAGGGTTTTTATTCATGAACATCTCAACGGCACGTTCATCCTCAGGGTCCACGACCACCTCTGCGTGGCAGCCCGCCCCTGTCATTGTGGCAGCCTTCTCCAGGGTGGGCCACTCTTCATCTTCGTCATCTGATCCACCTTGTGGCACTCCTGTACCTGGAAGAGTGGAAAGGCAACGGATGAGAAAGGCAAGCAGTAGGCGAGGGATTTAGAAGTCAGTTTAATTTTAACCACTACCTATAGATGCAGAACATAGTATAAGCCTCACTATGTTCTACATCTAAATATATGGCACCACCATCCAGCCAATGCTAAGCCAGAACCTGGGAGGCAGGCCAGCCTCATCCCCAACACCCAATTAATTACTAAGTCCTCTTCAATTTGATCTGATACAATTTCTTTCAACCTTCACAGCTCTGTCTAAGCCTAGATCAGCATCATCTCTTGCCTGGATTAAATAATCCCCTAACTGGTCTCCACATTCTCCAAGTTTCCCATTGCCTTTATGACAGCTCTAAATCCTGTGCACAGCCTCCAAGTCTTTTGCAGATTTGGTTCCTACCCACCTCACCATTATTGATTAACCCATTCATTCAGCAAACACTGAGTGCCTACTATATGTGAGACACTGTTCTGGGTGCTGGAAATATATTCGTGAACAAGAGAAACAAAGCCTTTTGCCCTTACATTCTAGTGGGGGAAGACAGACAATAAATATAACGCATAACAGGTTAAACAACAAGTGCTATGAAAAAAATCAATAGGGCAGAGTAGAGAGGTTGGGATTGTGCAGACAGGGGTGGGGGTGTTGCAATTTTTACTGAAGTGGTCAGGGAAGGTGTGTGGTATGTGAGAACATGGGCCCTTTCCCAAGCTCCAACCCCCCCCCCCATCCTGTGGGAATATGATGAAGGCCATCTGTAAGCAGACTGTGGGACCAATCTCGGGAGCCTGGCCAGCTCCTCGATCAAAAAACAGCCAAACAGAAACTGTTCTCAGATGTGAGCCTGGATTGTAAGCTACTAGTGTCTTGATCTCACAGAGATTGCATGCAAGCACGCCCACCAATGTATGCCCTGTTTGCCTTGTATTCTGTACTCTATTTAACTCTGTGCTGGGAAAGCCTGTTTCGGAAAACTTCACTGGATGGCCGCCACCAGTGTGCACGTAAGCCCTAACGAGCCCACGTCTTTCACATCAAGACATCTGGATTACTGACAAGCAATATGCTGAAGTTTTCTTGGACCATGGGTCTTTGCATAACAGAAGGCCTCTCCGAGAAGGTGAAGAACTGAGGGAGTGTGCCTACAGGTGTGTGAGGACAAAAGGAGCAACCAGGGCAGAGGACCTAACTTGCCATGTTTAAGCCTATATGGGTGGAGCTGGGAAAAGTACAAGTCGAACTGGCAATGGGAGATCATACGGGGCTTTGCAAACCACTGTAACTGTTTAGCTGTTGAGCTGAGAGTGGACTGTAGGGGGTATGGGATATGAATGAGGCAGCTACTGTAATAATTCAGGTTAGATTGTGGTGTCTTGAAGAGAATGGTGTTCCAAAGTGGTGAGAAGTGATCTGATTCTGGATATATTCTGAAGGTAGTCAACAGGATTTCCCAACAGATTGGATGTGGAATGTGAAAGAGAGGAGTCCAAGGTTTTCACCTTCAGCAAATGAAAGATATCATGTTATTAACTGAAATGAGGAAGATGTTGGAGGGGCAGGTTTGGTGAGAAGGTCTATTTCGGATATGTTAAATTTGAGATGTCTATTAAGACTTCAAACTTGAGGTGCCAAATAGGCAACTTAAGAATCTAGGTTTCCTGGAATAAATGAGAGCTAGAATATAAAGTTAGGAGCGGTCACCAAATAGATGGCACTTAAAACCATGAAACTGATGACAGCACCAGAGAAGTGAGTGAAGAGGTCCAAAGACTGAACCCTGTGACACTTCTGCAAGTGGTTCATGATCAAAGGGGAGCCAGCAAAGGATACCAAGTGGTAAGTAAGTAGTAACACAGGAATGTGGTATCTTGGAATGTGACGTACTGCAGCCAGGAAGCCAACGTGGAATTGTGTCAGGACAAAGGAAAGAGACCCGAGAAGTGGATTAAGAGGGTCCACACTCCCACCCCAATAAGAAAATGTTGATCATCTTTTACTTTATCTCTGTCTTTGGCCCCTAAACAATATTGTTCTTTCTGCTCAGGGCACTCCCCACTCTTTTATAGGTCTCAGCACAAAGGTGATGAAATCTGAGGAGCCTGATCCCCAACCTAATGCTGTTATTACCAGAGAAACTATTATACTTTACCGTGGAATGTATTATTTGTCTATCGTCTAGTCTCTCCTGGGCTAGACTGTAAAATCCTGAAGTCAGGCACCTGTCTACCCTGTTTACTTCCTTATCCAAACCTTCTAAACTCCAAGCACAGTAGGAAGCACTAGTAGACATCCCGGAAGTATTCATAGAAAAAAATGGATAAATACTAGGAAAACCTAGTGGTGTGAGCAATCACTTCCCGTTAGAATAACTTCAGGGGTACCTAGAAGGGAAGGCCTAAAACTAACAGTGGGCGTGGAGGGCTCTGACTACCCTAAATCCGCTCCAGGGCTGGGTCTCCCATTCCACTACCTTCGTAAGGGAGTACTATGGACGCTTTTCATTCCAAGCTATTCCCCTGCCCGACACCCGTCCATCCCCTCCTAACCCCCGCCTTCCTCGTACCCATCCCCAACACTCACCCAGCCGCGTGATGCGCTCCCGTGGCGCCGCGGGCCTGTCCCCAGTCCCATGCTCGGCCTCGAGCTCCTCCTGCTGCTGCCGCGCTTGCTGCAAAATCCGCCGGGTCAGCCGCGGCCCTACATACTCTTCTTCCTCCTCTTTGGTTCCACGACCCCGCCGCTTTTCCCGGACCCCTGCCCGCACCGCGTCCCCAGCCAGAATCTGCTCGGCAAGGGGCGCGTGTTTTTCCTGACCCCCGGCCCCGCGGGCGGCCTTGAATTTGGGCATTTTCCTGGGAAATGTTGCCGGGAAGGTCCACACGTGGAGGCGCAGAAGTAGTCCTGAGTGCGCTTGCGCTACGTACTCCTAGTTCCGGACCTGCCACACAGAGGTCACAGGGCCCCCTACCGGTTGGAGGCCAGGCGTGCCATCAGCTCCGCCCCACCTGCGAAGAACTCGCGGTCCTGGAGCTAGACTCCCAAATAAACTCTTTGCATTTAACGTTGGCTTCTCTATAAACTTAGAGGGTTTAGGCCAAGGGTGCTGCAAGCCTGGGAGCAGCAGTCGGGCTGGGACACCAATGAGGGTGTCACCGAGAAGCGGCCTAGACACGCCCCCGTTCCTCGTGGCGCGTCGACTGGGCGCTCTGTTTTGACGTAATTTCCGCAGCCCCTCCCTCCACCGACGCCTGCGTTAGGGGGCTTCACTTAATGCGCGCGGCCGGAGAAGTCGGCGTTTCACCTGTTTGGTCTGCGCTCCTCCTGGTCCGACATCATGGGAGTGACTTGGTAGGACTGCAGGGGGTTTTGTGGGGCGGCACTCCGAGCCTGGTGTGTACCCGGGAGGGGGGTCGGGACCAGGGTCTGCGGTCCCTCGGGAGCTTAGCACGATGTCCTCGAATTGTGTGGGTGAGGGGGACACCGTGAGGGCTGTGGAGTCTCCGGGCCTGGTTCCTCGGAGACGCGCCCCCTTCCTCCTGGGTTTTATCCCAGAAATTTATCAGTGATTGGGTACCTCCTTCTCATTTTCTTGGTACATCTTCCTGCCGGTGAGGCCAGGGGTGGAACTTTAGGGTCGGAAATAGGATGTGCGGACTCGAATCCTTCAGCAGGCAAGGCTTGAGGGATTTGGGGGTAGGCAAGAAGGAGACAGTATGGTTTTTTTTTAGGTTTTCGCCTGCTCCTCCCTCCAGCTACTAAATGTAGTTAGACCAGCCTGTATCTAGTTCCAGTTTGGCTATGTTAAGATCTTGGGTCGGATGGGGGTGGGGGGGCTATTGCGAATTAGGAGATTGGGGTTGTAGGCACATCACTTACTCAGGACCTGTTTTCTACATGATTCGTCTAGTTTCTATGAGTTTTTTATCTCTAACATATTGTAAGGGTGGCAGAGGAAAGGTATGGGTTTAATGTTCTTGGAAGTATTAATTACAAAATACTAGATTTCAGGGCTTTTTAAAAAATATCTGTAAGTGTAAGCATTTCCAATCAGAGGACTGGAGGCCAGGCTATCTGAAGTCAGTGACTATAGGCTGCTCATGTAAGAGCCTGTGGAAACTCCTGGTAGCCCAGGTTCTTGCTGGTTTGCCAGTGATTGCACTTTTGTTTCCTGCATTTGACATCACGAGGCTCCTCTGATTCCTCTAGCGTAAGGGAGATGTGTGAGGGATGGGAATGGCAGGTTTGCAGCACAGAGGCTTGGAAGTCTGGAAGTCCCTGTTTTTTCAGTAGAGAGGCAAACAGAGGGAAAGGGCTCTCTGTCTGTTGGGACCCTTATCAACTTTTTCAGACTCCTAGGGCTTCTCACCCCAGTACCATCATTTTAGCAATGCTCTTATATTTCAAAATAAGGTACATCATCATCATTCCTTATCACTGCTTTTTCTGGTGGAGAGTAGTGACAAGTAGGACTCTACCTTTATAGCTTTGTTTGGCTGAATGATCCTAAAGTAATGCAGCGCCTCTTAAAATTCAGTCACAAATAACTGTCTTTCTGATTTTTATATAGCTGAGTACCACCTTTACTATTATATATTAATATTATATATATATATTAATATTTTATATATATATTAATATTTTCTTTTAAACCTATTTCTTTTCCTTAAAAATATTTTAACATCCCTAGGGGAGTAGTCTCCTATAGTACTTAAGGTCATGGACATGGAGCCAGTTTGTCTGACTTTGAATCTTGGCTACACCACACCAAGCTGTGTGACCTTGTGCAAGTTAGTCAACCCCTCTGTACTTCACTTTCCTCATTTGTAATAAGGAGGTAAATAATAGCACATCTAGGGCCATTGTGAGGATTCAAATAATTTATCTCAAGGCTTTTGAACACTGTCTGGCACATAGTTGGGGCTTGATAATTGTTAACTACTACTCTAAAGGGGAAGCCAGCTTTACTTACCATAGAAGGAAGTCTTGGAAATAACATTTTTTTGTTTCATTGTTTTGGTTACATTCTTGTTTAAAACATAAAATTGCCACATGTGGCTTGTGTTTACTGTACTGGACAGCACATGGTCAGAGCATTGGAGAGTTGGGAAAAACATACCCCAAATTGAGGCTTTCTCCTTAATATAATCAGAACTGAAATGACTGCAAAGGAAATCCTTACTCATTACACAACTCAGTATTATCAAGTGCTCAGCCTGTGTGCCACCTAAAATTTTCTGTTGAATGTTGGCACACATGCCACACTTGGGAAATTCTGGTATGATAGGAAGTTTACTGCACTGCTGTGAGAGAGTCCTGAGATCTGTGTTCTTAGGGACTGAGGGCCTC